GTGGGTTTATTTTGTATGCAGCCAGAGTGTTCCTCGTCACCCTGCCAAGGCACCCCCCAAAAAAGCGTGCTTTCCCTAGCCTTGCAGAGGTTATAGTTGCCACAGACTTCTTGTGGCTGCTCTTTTTGTATTTTATGAATATGAGGCTTGTTGTATCATGTGTCCTAATGGCTCTGCTGCATGACTTGTACTTTTAGGCTCAGCCAAACCTTGGTGAAGGATGTGGCCATCCTTGCTCGAGAGATTCACGATGTTGCTGGAGATGGGGACTCACAGAGTTCATCGGGGACGGCACCAAGCACCTCCCTCAGCTCTGTGCCCAACACTCCTGCTTCCACCATATCAGCAAGGGAAGAGGTAAGATCCCAAACGACACAAACCTCTGCCTCTGAATGCGAGCAAGTATGCGGGGTACGGTTGTGGTGGGACACTAGGGCAGCATCCCCAGTTGCTGCAGCATTTAAAAACCTCATCCTCTGCCCTCCTAAGAAACACTAGCAGAAAGACTGACTGTAGTCTATTTAGGATGCTCTTTATTTTGCCCTCCCCTGTGTCACAGCCAGCCTTGCAAGAGGTGTGAGCGGGCTGCATGGGTCAAGAGCTGTATTGGATCTGGGCGGGTTTGGCTTTTGTTAGGAGTATCCTTACCCTGTCTCTAGGAAGCAGGAGGGCCCTAGTGTCAAAATGTTGGATTCCTCCTATTATTTCCTAAGGATCTCATGGCCTCTAGTAGGACTTTAGTCCCTGAACTTTGCAGGGTGGGAACAGGATAGGGTGGGTGTGCTGTGCTGCTGTACCAGGGAGCCTGAGCCTCCCTTCTTGTTTCAGACAAGGCACTGACTGTGCCCCCTCTGTCAGCTGTGTATTTTGTACCTCTGCTATGTCTTTTCTGCCAGGGCTGTTGAAATGCTGTGCAGGTGTTGCTTGAATCCCTTCCCTCCATCTGTCTATTGATGGGCAAGGGCAGGGACTCTGCTCTCCAGCCAGTGAGGTGGGCAAGGAGACAGGCAATTAGCTTGGGAAGTACCATCCTCCAGCTCTTCAGCAAAGCTGTGGCTTCCTCCTGAACTGTGCAGCAGTTTGTCTGCTCTGGAGTGGGGAGGAGAGAGGTGGTTTCTTAGTTTGGCTCACCAATGCTGCAGCGCAGGGTCTTAGCTCAGCTCAAACTTGGCTGCAAGGTCACAAGGAGGCTCCAGCTGCTAAAGCAAAATTGCCTTTGCTGCTGTTTGAATTCAAATTCCTTCCTGTTGGCCACCAGCGTGGACTTAAAAAAATATACAGCTTGCTTTATCTGCTGTTCAGACGGGCCTCTTGGCCCTCTGTTGTCTTTGTTGTGAGAATCGCAGACCTGTCCTAAGCAGGATTCCACACTGAGGTCCAAAGTTGTTGCCCTGTTAAGAGAGTACTTGTAGGCCCTGTGACCCTGCTGTGATCATCACTGAAGGTGCAAAGCAGACGTTTAGGGAGACACCCAGAAAATCAGGCGAGTGTGGCTGTGCTTGTGTTAAGTAGAGGTCAGCTGCAGCCTGCTCAGGGAGGGGTTTTTCCTGGGGCGGTTTGGAGCCACAGTGCGCAGATGTTTTGCAATAACTTCAGGCTCTGAGATAGTGTTTTACTGCTTTGTTTCCATGCAAGTGCCACACCTGCAAAACTGCCTTTTGTATTGTTCCTTTTGAGCAGTTAAGGTGACGGACAAATCTACCTTACTTCTGACTTGCAAATGAAACGTTTGCTTCAGTTTGGTGATGACCAGCACTCAGCACCCACTTCCTTCCAGAAAACCAGCTTACCTCCTTTGCTGAGTGCCACTGAATGGTGCAGCCAAGTGAGGATATACAGAGGGATGTTCCCTGCTACGAGAGGAGGAAGGACACCCACAAACTGCAGTGTTTCTACTCTGTGCAAAATGATGGGCTCCATAGTTTGTGGTAGTGATGCTGAATGGCTTGCCAGGATTGCTCGAACCCAGGCAAACTGAGGGTTTCTCTGCAACATGGCGTGACAGCTGCCATGCGCTGCACGGGACGTGCCAGTCAGCCCCCTCACAATCGTGCGGAGAGCCAGTGTAGGGCTGTGTCACACTGTAGGTAACGCTCCTGCTAGAGCAGTTTTTTAGATCTTACAGTGGTGTAAATGAAGAAGCACTGGTAGGAACCTGTGAAGACAGATCGGGAGCCATAACCTTTGGCGTGTTCAGCCAGTGGTGGCTGAAACCACCACAGAGGCTTTTAACTAGACTCACTCCAAGTAGAGTTGGATAGCACCGTGATTTCAGCAGGGCCAGCGGCTGGGAGGCTGTTTGAGTTGCACCCAAAATGCTGGTATGCATCAGTGGAGCTGCCCTTATGTTAGCGATAGCCAGGAACAGGTTAAATCAGCAGGGACTTGTCCCTGCCCCCTGCAGGGTGGTTGGACTAGTTGACCTCTAAAGGTCCCTTCCAACCCAAACTGTTCTATGAGTCTATGGATTTCTACTTGCGATGCTGAGATGTGGAGCTGAATCCTGACTAGCTTGGCATCCTGGATGGTGCGTCATAGAGGTCATGTTATGTACGGGAGTCATGTAAGCTGAGAGTAATGAGGGTAGACTTAGATTAGAGATTAGGAAGAAATTCCATGCTGTGAGGGTGGTGAGACACTGGAACGGCTTGCTCAGAGAAGCTGTGGCTGCCCTCCCCCGGAGGTGTTCGAGGCCA